CTATCTATCTATCTATCTATCTATCTATCTATCTATCTATCTATCTATCTATCTATCTATCTATCTATCTGTATATCTATCTACATATGTACATATCTATCTCTATACATATCTAGATGTCTATCTCTATATCTATATCAATCTATCTTATCTCTCTATATACACACACACACACACAGACACACACACATATATATATACACATACACATATATATACATATATACTTTAAGGCTATTGTAAGTGTGTGTGTGTGTGTGTGTGTGTGTGTGTTGGCTGGAGCACCCGGTCTACCAAGTATAGGATAAATCAGTCTGTTCTCCATTTTGCTCCAATCTAGGAGCATGTTTTGCAGGCAGACATTACATACTGTGAACACTGTAAATTCAGTTGTTTTTTTGTGGCTGACAAAGAGTTAGTGGGAGACTAATATAGCTATTTCAAGCTCTTTAGCTCTCATCAGCTAGTCATATCCCTCTGGGATTCAAACCTGGGCAGCTTGCGTGTTAGGCAGTTGTATTAACCTTCTATATATATTTGTCTCTATCTATCTCTCTCTCTCTCTCTATCTCTCTCTCTCTCTCTCTCTCTCTCTCTCTGTCTGTCTGTCTATCTATCTATCTATCTATCTATCTATCTATCTATCTATCTATCTATCTATCTATCTATCTATCTATCTATCAAGTTTCCTCTGCTCTACCATTCTGCAGGTCCGGAAAGCTCTCTGTGTCCTCATCCAACACAACTTGGTGACCTTCCAGCAGCAGAAGCGAGGCCTGGTGGAGTATGAAGCCCAGTGCAGCCGAACGCTGCGAATCCTCCGCTATCCCCGGTACATCTATACAGCCAAAACTCTCTATAGCGATACGGGGGAACTGATTGTGGAAGAGCTGTTACTCAATGGTAGAATGACCATGAGTGCTGTGGTGAAGAAGGTGGCAGACCGACTGACAGAGACAATGGAAGGCGAGTGTCATTCATCCCACTTAAACCGATTAGCACAGAAAGACTCCAGGCTCATTTCTTTTTCCAAGAATATACAGGTCGTCCTCAACTTAACAATAGTGCATTTAGTGACTGTTCAAAGTTGCATCGGCACTGAACAAAATGACTTGTGACCGTTTTTCACACTTAATGACCGTTGCAGCATCCCCATGGCCACGTGATCAAAATTCAGATGCTTGATAACACTCATGACAGTCGCAGTGTCCTTGAGTTACGTGATTCCCTTTTGCGACCTTCTGATCAGCGAAGTCAATGGGGAAGCTAGATTCACTTAACAACCGGGTTACTAACTTAACAACTGCAGTGATGCCCTTAACTGTGGCAAGGAAGGTCGTAAAATGGGGCAAAGTTCATTTAACAAATGTCTCGCTTAACAACAGAAATTTTGAGCTCAATTGTGGTCGTAACCCGAGGATTGCCTGTAATTAGCAAAGAAAGAGTCCTGGTTCATTTTTTCCCCCAAGAGCACACTTTACAGCGGTTACAGATTAGAGCAGGCAGAATCTGTCGGCTAGGCGTGAAAACGCTGCAATTAATCAGAATGGAGCTGGAAGGGACCTGTGAGGTCTTCTAGTCCAGCCCCTTGTTCAAGCAGGAGACCCTACACCAGTGATGGCGAACCTTTTAGAGACCGAGTGCCCAAAACCTGCCCCGCCCCCCTGGCCCACCCCCCGCTCCACCCCCACTCTGCCCTGCCCCACCTGCCCGCAGGGCCACCCACCACCTTCACGGTCCACCGCAGCAGATCGCCCGGGCCCAGCAGTGCCATGGCAGCCATACCCTCCACCCATGCCCCGCAGCACCAACTGTGTGCGACGGGGTGTGAGGTCAGAGTCTTGTCCCTGCTGCCCGGCTGCCATGTGCTCCACACGGGCTACGCCCGGGGGTGACTCTCCTCTGGGGGGGCTGCTGGTGAGGGGGCCATGGGGGGAGACGGGGCTGGGGCAACGGCGCGCGTGTCCACAGAGAGGGCTCCGAGTGCTGCCTTTGGCATGCGTGCCATAGGTTCGCCCCCACTGCCCTACACCATTTCAGACAAGTGACTGTCCAGTCTCTGTGACAAGTGACTGTCCAATTAACTTTCCTTTTCCCCATGGCCGCCCCCTCTGTAATCGGTCACTGTCCAGTTGAAAATACTCGGGTTGTTTTGGAAGCGGACCCTGGGTTCTGTTCGTGCCTTTCTCACATTCCTTTTGTTGGCCTTCTGCTTGATTGGTGGTCCTCACCTCAGGGCTGGCTCTGCTTTAATTCCAATCCCTCCCAAACCGCCCACATTCCAATCTCTTCCCCCTCCCACCGTTGCTGTGCCAGGCTGGCAGAGCGAAGCCTGAATGGAACAGTGTTGCCCCAGGCCAACTCGCTGCTTGACAGTTTTAACAATTCTATTCAATCATTTAAAACAAAATTTAAAAAAATAATTTTTGCCATTCACCTTTCATTCTGTCCCTCCTTTTGCATCCTTTCTGTAATGATTCTGTTCCACCATTTCTTTGATATTAGTGCAACTCCTGTCCTTATGGCGAGTTGTCACACAGCAAGTTGGGCGTAGCAAGTTGGCTGCGGCGAATTGTCGTAGACCAGACATGTCAAACACAAGGCCCGGGGGCCGGATGCGGCCTGCGAAGTGGTTTCATGTGGCCCGCGAAGCCATCCTGGAAACAGTGAGGGAACGGCCCCCGCTGCCTTGGCCCTGGCCCAGGCCGGCCGGAGGGAGCCAATGTACAATTTTGTGGTGGCCATCTATGCTGAAACACATTCAGTCTTAGCTCCACAAGGCCGTCTGGAAACAGCGAGGGACCGGCCCCTGCTGCGTCGGTCCTGCCCCCTGGGTCCATGCTGGGGAGGTGTCACCCTTCGTGAGGAATGAAGAAATGGACCATGCCTTGGCGCTTGCCCCGGTCCCACCCCCTTCTGCCAGAGACCCTCAGATCTGTCCCACTCCTGCCCAGGCCCCTACAGGTACTTTGGACGCGAACGATGTAGAGCTGGCCATGCCCACCCAGTAGGACACACCCACTCCACACCCACCCAGTAGGCTGCACCCACTCTGGCCACACCCACCTGGCCCCCCAAGGGCAACCGCAATGCAGTGAAATTGAGTTTGACACCCCTGTCGTAGACCCAATCGAAGCAGCAGCAGAATTGGCAGCTGTGACACTGAGTGCGTCTGGTGGGTTTCTCTGTTGGGAAAAATGTTGCTTGCAAAGGCCACTGTGAAAGATTTCTGGTGTCTTTGTCCACAGATGGTAAGACAATGGATTACAGTGAAGTCTCCGCCACCTTTACGTGCCTGGCAGATACACATTTTGTTCAGAGATGCCCTTCGCCATCCGAAAGTTCTGAGTCTGCCGAAACACAGCCTCCTCCCACACCTACATTGGCCTTTAATGAGAAGGATATGTATGCTGTCCCAAAGCTGAACCTCATAGGTGAGAAGCTAAGTAGTTTAGATAGCAGGCGACGAGGGAATTAAACCAGCAAGATGTAGCTGGCACTTAGGAGTCTGTCGAAAGATTTTAGAAGCAACCAGGAGTAGAAAGAAACCAACAGTTTCCACTTCTTTGAGGAGAAGAATGAACTTAGAATGGAATAGGAATAAGGATGGGATGGGATGGAATGGAATGGAATGGAATAGAATAGAATAGAATAGAATAGAATAGAATAGAATAGAATAGAATAGAATAGAATAGAGTGTAATGTAATGTTATGGAATACAATAGAATAGATGTAATGTAATAGAATAAAATAGAATAGAATAATAGAATATATGGAATGGAATAGAATAGAACAGAACAGAATAGATGGAATGGAATGGAATGGGACCTTGGAGGTCTTCTAGTCCAACCCCATGCTCAAGCAGGAGACCCTATACCATTCCAGACAAATGGCTGTCCAGTCTCTTCTTAAAAGCCTCCAGTGATGAAGACAAGCTGTTCCACTAGTTTATGTTCTGTGCCACTAAATCGTGACTTTCCTGCCTTATACAGTGAAATGAATCTACGTTCTCTTAATCTTATATGTACTGTGTCTCTCTCACACAAAGAACCCTGTAAATATGCTTATAAGACTCGGCTTATAAGAATGGATCTGGTCCTCAGTTCCTGTTTTTTTGCAATAAAGACACGGCTTTATTTTAGCAGTCAAAACTGCTTGTAGGAATTTCACTGAGAGAAACAGATGCAGATCAAGCCTACTGTATCCCTGGGGGAGGGAAGGAGGAGAGAGGTTTGCTGCTGCTGCAAGAAATAACATTTTCTCTTTCGGCCAACAGGAAAGGGAAAGCGGAAGCATTCCGACAACGCCAAGGAGGACGGTGATAGAGGAGGAAAGCGATCAAGACAAGACCCAGAGAGCGAAGAGGTAGCATGGGCGCCGCTTCCAGGACAACTGAAGATGAGAGAAAAACTGGGCGTAGAATGCAGAGGCCAGAAAAGGAGCTGGGCAGATGAGATCCTAGTGGGAGATGGGAGAGGGAACCGCCCTATAAAGCTTAACAAATGTCTCTCTTAGCAACATAAACGTTGGCTTCAGTTGTGGCTGTAAGCCAAGGACTGCCCGTATATGCAAATTGGCAAATTTAAGAGTTTGCATCTGTAAGGACCCACCCCACTTTACATCTCAAGAAGACAGAACTCTTGGAATATCTCTTCCAACAGGCATCTTTATTAAGAGAAGATGGTTGCAGGCGTTCTAGACAGGATCTGAGGGGCCAACCCCTACCATTCAAGGTTTTAAGTGTTCCCAAGCAGCCCCCACCCCACTGTCCTTCCAGCGACGATCCCAGGCGTTACATTTCCACCCCCTTTTCCTCACGGCTGGCGGAAAGGAGACTTCAGAGAGTAGTAGATGAAAGCTGATGGGCCCTATTGTTATGGTCAGTCCTCTTGGTGAGAATCCACATTCAGTCCCTTTGAAGTTTTAATGAAGGAAGTGAGAGCCATAAAACCCCTTTGCTCATCCCCCTTCCCCTTCGTAGTATGACAGAATCCAGAGAGGGCAGAAATGGGGTTTTCCATAGTCGATAACTAGAAATGAAATATAATTGGATTCTGACAGCATCAAAGTGTTTGGACGGGGGATAACAGGATAGGCTTCCTAAGGGACTCTGGTTGTCAATCCCTGTTTCAGCCTCTTGCAGACAGTGGGATCTACTGGCAAGTCAATATAGATCGTTTTCACCAGCACTTCCGGGATCAAGCGATTGTCAGTGCTGTGGCCAACAGGATGGACCAGGTGAGTAGAATCTTCCTCAAATTATTTATTACCTTTTAAATAAACGCATATGGCTATCCAACTCATACATGAACTCCCTCCCTCCTGATCATTGGTGATGAAGTTCTTGGACATTCCATGATTGTCTGCCTAATGGCTGGCTTTTCTTACAAGGAAAGTTCCAGCTTTTTTCCCTAGCAAGAATCAGTCACACCTGCCTTGGCTTGTGGAATAGGCCAGATACAATTAAGTCAAAATCAAACAGAGGCACAGAATCAAAATCACGTGAAATATTAGTACCGCTTTATAAAGGCCACATCTGGAATACAGCATCCAGTTTTGGTCAACACATTATAAAAAAAGATGTTGAGACTCTGGAAAAAGTGCAGAGAAGAAGAGCAAGAAAGATGATTAAGGGCCTGGAGACAAACATGAAGAACAGTTGCAGGAATTGGGGATGGCCAGTCTAAAGAAAAGAAGGACTAGGGGGGACATGATAGCAGTGTTCCTTTATTTGAGGGGCTGCCACAAAGAGTAGGGGGTCAACTTATTTTCCAAAGCACCAGACAGCAAGACAAGAAACAACGGATGGAAACTAATCAAGGAGAGAAGCAACCTGGAATTAAGGAGAAACTTCCTAAGAGTGAGGACAATTAACCAGTGGAACAGCTTGCCTCCGGAAGTTGTGGGTGCTCCATCACTGGAGGCTTTTAAGAAAAGACGGGACAGCCACCTATCTGAAATGGCATAGGGTCTCCTGGTTGAGCAGGGGGTTGGACTAGAAGACTAAGGTCCCTTCCAGCTCTATTTTGATTGACTGACAGGAGAAGGGCCTCTGTTACACCTCCTAACTTTTCTTCTGCCTCCACAGACCAGTAGCGAAATTGTGCGGACCATGCTGCGAATGAGTGAAGTCACAACCTCTTCTAACGCCCCCTACACCCAGCCCCTCTCTTCCAATGAGGTGAGTCACCCTTTTGAACTTTTAAGTCATGGGTTTAATTTCATGGCCAGAGGACGCAGGGTTCAGGCAAAAGGCCAGGAGATTAAAAGCCATGCCGTTAGACCTCAGTGACCAGATTGCTGCAGGTCTTGCTCACATTGGAGGTGCAGATTCCTGGCCAAAAAAGGAGTACAGGTAGTCGTCGACTTACAACTGTTCATTTAGTGACCGTTTGAAGTTACAACGGCGCTGAAAAAAGTGGCTTATGAGCATTTTTCACACGTAACGACCGTTGCTGGCACTGCAACTTGTCATAAATGTGAGTCAGTTGCCGACTGTCTGGATTTTAATGAAGATGCTGTAACAGTCGTAAGTATGAAAAGCGGTCACGTCACTTTTTTCAGTGGTGTCGTAACTCTGAATGGTGACTAAATGAACTGTTGTAAGTCGAAGACTGCCTGTATATAGTAATGTTTTAAAACGGGGGTCTTCAAACTTGGCCCTTTTATGACTTGTGGACTTCAACTCCCAGAATTCCTCAGCCAGGCATGCTGGCTGAGGAATTCTGGGAGTTGAAGTCCACAAGTCAAGGGGTCTTCAAACTTGGCCCTTTTATGACTTGTGGACTTCAACTCCCAGAATTCCTCAGGCACGCGTGCCTGGCTAAGGAATTCTGGGAGTTGAAGTCCACAAGTCAAGGGGTCTTCAAACTTGGCCCTTTGATGACTTGTGGACTTCAACACCCAGAATTCCTCAGCCAGGCACGCGTGCCTGGCTGAGGAATTCTGGGAGTTGAAGTCCACAAGTCATCAAAGGGCCAAGTTTGAAGACCCCTGTTTTAAAATACCTCCTCAGTAGTCACAAAATGTACAATCCATATTTTTTTTCTTTTTTTCAGATATTCCGGTTACTTCCAGCCGGTTACAACGTCTCCAAGCAGATTCTTGATCAGTACTTAACCTTACTATCAGATGACCCGGTAAGAAAACAATTTTCTGCCTTACGATCAGAAAAAAAAAAATCCTTCAGGAACGTTGCGTGTTCTTTCTTGATTTCCCTTTTTTCCAGACCTGAGGCTTTTTCACCCAAGCCTTTTATTCTCTCCACAGCTTGAGTTTGTTGGGAAATCCGGGGAGAGCGGTGGAGGGATGTACGTGATCAGTATCCTTCGGGGGCCTTCCGCTGTCACCAGGGCCAGTCGCAGAATCAGAAAGAAGCCATGTGGGTTAACAAGGCAAGAAGGCAGGTGTCAACTGCCCCACTCGGTCATCTAGCAAAGAAAGACACCTCCCCGGCCATTTGTTTTTGCCAAGAGCACGCTTGGCACTGTTGGTGACGCTCAGCATGGGAGGAAGGCGTGCATTTCTCTGACCAGTACGACAAACACACCTGATGTCATGGCTGGAGTGGGGAGGAGGACTGGGGGTGGAATGGAAGCCCAGCTGAGTCTTGTGAAAAGCTTAGGTCAGTGATGGCGAACCTTTTAGAGCAGGGGTGTCAAACTCAATTTCATTGAGGGCTGCATCAGCATTGCAGTTGCCCTCGGGTGTGTGTGGCCAGGGTGTGTGTGGCCTACTGGGTGTGTGTGGATGGAGTGGGTGTGGCCTACTGGGTGGGCGTGGCCAGCTCTACATCGTTCGGGTCAAGGGTGCCTGTGGGGGCCTGGGCAGGAGTGGGACAGATCTGAGGGTCTCTGGCAGAAGGGGGTGGGACCGGGGCAAGTGCCAAGGCATGGTCCACTGGAGGAGCCTCACTGTTCCTCTCCGGCCATGCAGGGGGGGGGTGGATGGTGGTGCGGGCTGCCGGGAGCCCTGGACAGCAGAGGTCAAATGCCCAGCCTGGCCCTCGAGCACCCGCGGCACCAAGCCCAGCCCCACTTCCCCAAGGGGGCATCCAGCTGCACTTACCTGCCGAAACCCCTCCCCTGGAGCCCATCAAGCCGGATAGGTGAAGTAGGCGAGGGCCATTTGCTGGCCACTTCCAGGCGATGGTCCATTTCTTCATTCCTCACAAAGGGTGACCCCTCCCCAGCATGCACCCAGGGGGCGGGGGTGACGCGGCAGAGGCTGGTTCCTCACTGTTTCCAGACAACCTTGTGGAGCTAAGGCTGAATGCGTTTCAGCATAGATGGCCACCACAAAATTGTACATTGGCTCCCGGCTGGCCTGGGCCAGGGCCAAGGCAGCGGGGGCCGTTCCCTCACTGTTTCCAGGATGACTTCGTGGGCCACATGAAACCACTTTCCGGGTCCCAGGCCTTGTGTTTGACATGTCTGCTTTAGAGACTGAGTGCCCAAACTGCAACCCAAAACCCACTTATTTATCGCAAGGTGCCAGGGCCGCATCAGCATTGTGGTGCTCTCAGGGGGAGTGGGATGTGTGCGTGTGGCCCACTGGGTGGGCATAGCCACTGGGTGGGCATAGCTGCAGTGGTCATGGCAGACTGGGTGGGCATGGGCGGGCCAGGACCAGGGCGGTGGGGACCAGTCCCTCACCATCTCCGAAGCATCCCCAGGAGGCCAATGCCGCTTACTCGCTCACTTCCTGCCCCATCACTTCCAAACGCCGCGTGCTCGCTACTCTGGTGAACTCTGCTGGGGTGACGGCGCGCGTGCCCACAGAGAGGGCTCTGAGTGCCGCCTCTGGCACACGTGCCATAGGTTCGCCACCACTGGCTTAGGTGGTTGCAGAGGTAGTACTGTGTTTCCCCCATAATAAGACCTACTCCGAAAGTAAGCGCTAGCTTGATTTTTGGGGGGAGAGCCTAATCTAAGCTCTACCCCAAAAAATAAGCCCAATCGACGGTAGGATCGTCAGCTACATTAGTGGCCAAAATTGTGGAAACCTTTTGGAAAAAGTGTACAGTAGAAATGCCACCTTTGGTTAAGTTTCCACCCATTTTTCTTCTAATTCCTTTATAAAACTGTAAGCTCGTTCACTTAATAATACTATTTTACATCGCTTTCTGGGCGACCAGTCAACTCTTTGCACCGTGACTTTCATTTTATTACGTTTTACAAGTTCACTCAATGAAAGAACACAAAAAACCCCCAACCGACTTGATAAGTGATCACACAACACACTGACAAACGTCCTCCTCTCAGCTTCAATACATAAGATCGATAACTGGATCCTACTGTGATCTGATTGGCTCATTGCCAAAACAAGAGGACACCCGATTGGCTCTCTAAACATTCGTGCTCATTGGCTACAATCAGAGAAAGGAAAGCTACCTGATACCAACTTAAGCAAGTTGTGCTTCCTTTTTCTGGATATTTGGCTATAACGTTTCATAGAATACAGTACAGATAATTGAACAAACTTGGTTGCATTACATTCTTGATTAAATTATCTTTCCATTAATATATAATTTTATGTTACTACTCCAAAAAAAAGTGGTGTTATTAGCCATCCAACCTCAAAAATACACTTTTCCCAATAGGTTTCCACAATTTTGGCCACTACTGTAGATGGAAGCGTGGCCAGTTGACTTTGCTTGCGTCAGCAGCGCCTGGGGGGGGGGGGGGAGAAAGATTTCAGCCTTGTGGCATCTTTTCCCTAACGTTCTGCCAAACAGATCTTCACAAGGGCCTGGCCTCTCTCGCCACCGCAACGCTGGAATCCATTGTGCAGGAAAGGTAAATTGATTTATGCTGATCTTTCCCCACCAGAAGATTCTTCATGCCTTTTGTGTTGCTTGTTTCACTTCCCAGTTTCCTTGGAATAGCCTTTTTTCCCCCTAATATCCAGGGAGCCTGTCTCTCGTGTCTTCTCCCTTTCTTTCCTTTTGGCCTCCAAAGATTCCTCTTCGGTCGATTTCAGATCATCCAAGCAGTGATGTTTATAACATTTATTCTGGATTTTTTTTTTTTGGGTGTTATTCTGTCTCTCCCTGTTAAAATAAACCTAGCATTAAAATTATAGACTGATCATTTCTTTGTCAATGGGCAAACGTACAAAATCCAGCAGGGGATCAAATGTTTTTTTTTTCCCTCACTGTAACTTGTAAAGCTATATTTTTTTGGGAGAAAAACTGTTTGCCTAAAATTTCCTCTCCCACCACACCTTTCAAAATACTGGGGTGTGTTTGCATCCTAGCCAGCGGCTACAGCAGTGGGTTAGTCGTGTAGCTTTTTGGTGAATTCGCTTAACAATTAACCAGTGGAACTCCTTGCCTCCAGAAACGGTGACTGCTCCAACACTGGAAGTTTTTAAGAAGAGACTGGACAGCCATTTGTCCGGAATGGTGTAGGGTTTCCTGCCTGAGCAGGGGGTTGGACTCGATGATCTCCGAGGTCCCTTCCAACTTTATTATTAGTATTATTGATCATTGCACAGTCAGCCAGATGTTCAGACTGGATTTGGCATTTTTGTCTACCTATCGAGTCCTTCCCAAGGACCTGGGATAGGCAGATGTGGATGTTTGATGGTATTACAGATATCATCGCAGGATGGAAGCCGTTCCTAGTAAGGCCGCCTTTTGCAATTGACTAATGGTGAATTTGTCAATGCCGATGGTGTTCAAGTGGTGCTCCAGTTGTTTTGGGATTGCACCCAAGGCGCCTATGACTATTGGTACTACCCTTGCTTGCTTTTGCCACAGTCTTTCTATTTCTATTTGTAGGTCTTTGTATTTTGTGATCTTCTCCAGTTCTTTCTCGTCTATTCTGCTGTCTCCAGGCACTGCCACGTCCATTATCTAGACTTTTTTGTCTTTCTTATCGACAATTGTTAAGTCCGGGGTGTTATGTTGCAGGTGCTTGTCTGTTTGAATTCTGAAGTCCCAGAGCAGTTTAATTTTATCATTTTCTATGACTTTCTCTATTTTATGATCCCACCAGTTGTTGTTATTGTTATTATTATTATTATTGGGGTTTGTTTGATTGTTTTGTTTGTTTTAGATAATTTATAGAGCTGCCTCCTCGCTCACAGCAACTCTAGGCAGCTTACAGATAATCAAAACACAATGTAGAAGAAATAAAAATAATGGAAAAATAATAATAATAAAATAATAACCCCCCACACCTCGGTGACAACACACACTCACATCAGCCATTTAATGGGATCCATCCCACTCTGGGTTCTCCAAGTGGCAAAACCACCTCTTCGGGGCTTTCCGAAAGTGTGCCAGAGTGGGGGCCAGTCTAATTTCTGGAGGGATGATGTTCCAGAGGGAGGGAGCCACCACAGGGAAGGCGCTTCTCCTGGGTCCCACCAGGTGTACCTCCTTAGGGAACGGGACCCACAACATTCTTTGCCTCCCCGCTCTAGTGGGTCGGGTGGATGTGACCGGCAAGAGATGGTCCGAAGGGAAAGATGGAAGAATGTGTGTGTGTATGTGTGTATGTGAGAGAGAGAGGGAGAGAGAGAGAACTATACCTGTTTTCCAGCTTACATGAAAGTTTTCATATTTCGGTATAGGAGAAAA